AACAGAGGCTACGCTGCTGACGGGCACACAGAAGACAATGCTGATATACAAGCAGAAATAGTGACAGTCAAGTACTATCTGTTATCCTGTTCCGCCTTCTCTTCCTAACGCGCAAATGGGGAACATAACCGGTGTTGACACAGGAACACACAAGGTTATAACAGTGAATGTACAAGGCGGACAATAGACATTATTTATACGCGTGTTTTAGTACCGCCTGGGCATGAATTCCCGTTATATATGCAAATGATTATGAACGTGATTAATGCAACTGCTATGTTTGCTACCCCTTCTAACCGAAACTTACTTCACTAAATTTTGTGAGCAGAAATGCATATAGAACGCTTCGCTTCCCTACCTTTTTCTGACGTTATTGCACTTCATGCATGGCCGTACAGCTGTAAGTTAGGACTATCTAATATAATGTGAACCATAGAGTTTCTTACATTGGCCATCGAACATCCCACACTTGAGGGCCACGATGGCGAGGAGGAGAAGGATACAAAATATGCCCGCAATAGAGACGAGGATGGAGATCATCTTCATCTGGTATCCTGGAACGGAAGCTGCCTTTTTTCGGTCGTAGCCGCCCAAGCTGAGCTTTTCCGGATCCTCCAGTGGTTGTGTATCAAGCGCCTCAGTAAACAAGCGAGACGCTGATATGGAGGGTGTTTGTAGGGTGTTCTTCGAGGAAGGGGCCGCTGTCTGGGGCTTTGAGAAGATGCCGTTGTGCTCTGGCCCACTTCTGATGATTACGGATAATTGAATCTGGCAAGAAGTATCCAATATCAGTGGAATTTTAGGTAGATTTATGAATCTGACGAGCACACAAGGCATAAGTATAGGCAAATGCAGTGCTCAATCGGACCTTTTAACGAACAACCACATATACACCGAGCTACATAATAATTGGCAGAAAAATAGGGTATGGCTTTCTGAAAAGCAGCATGCGAAATGTAGCAGAAGGCAGAGGAATAATCCTTTCAGTTGAATCTCCTTAGCATTGACCTCCGGCAAAGGTCTTCTCTTATGCGCGGGTTCAAATCCCGCCAAACGCCTCGAGTTTTTTCACAATTGGGTCAACTCAAATTCAACTAAGCTTGCAGCAAGAGCAACCATGATACCAGATGTTGATATCCAACTCAAATATTCGTGTTCTACACTAAAAATGCATCTCGGAGACGTACTTAGAAGGTTTAAATCGGTAATTCAATAAAGTCGCCAACTAACGATGGGTGTACATTTTTAACTGCTTCCTGTTAATTAAATTAAAAAAGCACTTATTACCTTATTTACCAACGAAAAGAGACGATAACAATAATCTGACTGAGAATAACGAATTAAAATAAAGGTTCGTCTTTAATAAAATATTTCAAGCACACTTTAGCGAACTGCTGTGGAGAGCCAGCCAACCGCTAATACCCCCCCCCTCCGAAATCTAATGCTGTCAAGAATCCGGAGTGTGTAGCCGAGATTACTCACAATTGCAAGGTACCGCTCCACCGGTATCTTTTTCGCGGTCTTCTGGAAAAAAACGGCTCCCACTGTAGGCTTAAATACTTGAAGCGAGGAACGGCGACTACTGCCCCAGCCTGTGCCTACTCTTCTCTTGCACGCCAACTGTCAAAATATCAGCTTCACGGAGAGGGCCGGCATCTCTTTTCAACAGGCTACCCGTGATGGGTAAATCGTTTTAAATGCGGAAGCCCGAATATCAGGTATGAATTTGTGTCTGCTACATAAACCACCAACTAAATCTTTTAAAGTTTTAAAATGTATTTAAGAGAAAAGGTCATTTTATCTGAAGCCCGATTGCGTGTAAATAGCTTAACTGTTTTGGGGGCTCATTTTTATCTGAATGAAGTCCTTATGAAGCAATCTCTGGTTTAGAAGCTACTGGTCAAAGGGAAATTTTTACCTCGACAATTTGTCTGGAATTTTAGAAGAAAAAAAGTTAAATTTACTGATATAACATTGTAAGAATGTTATGTCCTCTTCCACAAAGAGAATTGGTATCAGTAATCATAATACTCCTTAAATGCATTTAGCGCTAATTATATTTTAACGGGTTCGGACCTTAGTCATCGCATTACTGGCTTGGTAATTTAATGACTGTTTTAAAGTTAATCTGGCTGACTAGATATCCCACGCATACGCAGGCAATGCATAAAGAAACGACCTTCAAATACTGTCAGACTGTCAAGCAAGCAGACTCTCAAAGCCTATCAATAGGTGGTCAAGAACCAACACCGACGGTGCTACCAAGGTGCGGAGGGCTGTGATCTTGTACTCGCCCTACTTTATTAAGTACTGATGAACCTGATGCTAGAAGTGTGAAATGGGGATCTTAAATAGCTGCTGAATTAATATGGTTGCTACCGAAGTCTAGTGGTTGGGCTCTTGAACCAAAATGTGCGGGGAGCCAGTCTTCAGCAAACCACTAGAATGACTATCTGAGACAGGACTGTACCTAACACATCTGAGAAATCTGATCAGAATGTCTGATTCAAGTAACAAACTCCACGCTACGTGGTCCAGTGGTGCAATTTAATGACGTGCGAGATGGACTGTTCAACCATAAATGGACTCTTGGTAATGCATGCTGGAATGTACAAGCTTTCTTATACCATTTTGTCCAAAGACTGATGGTGTGTAATCCCCATCAGAATAAAGTAAATATTTGCTGTCCGCATGAACTCTGAATCCTCGACTCAGGTATTCGGAAAAGCAAGGTCCTAGGGTTAAACTTCCACGCGAGTCTATTTGACGACAGTCCACGCGATCCTTCTGGTGAACAGAGCGTTTCGATCGTCCTCTCGCAAGAAGAGAAGCACGCACTGCTTGTGTGAGAATAGGACAATGACCGGCTAGCTTGCTTAGTACTGAGTCACCACTTCACAACTATCTTAGACATCTCCGTGCCCTTCCGAACATCATCTGTTGGCCAGCACGAGAGAGAAACCAAACCGCAGCTGCTAGAATTACTTGAAAGACAAATACAGTCTGCTTACCACTTTCTGGACATACGTTCATTATGAAATTGAAGCCGCACGTGCAGTTTATCGAAATCTCAACGATTGAATGAACAAAATCCGGACTAAATGGCTCTTCATTGGCCCTTCTTACTGCGATAAATAGTTTTTAATTAATTTTCGTGCTTTCGATAATTTTGAGCAAAGATCCTCTGCAATTGCTGAGAAAATATAGGAGTATTTCCTCCGCTCGCTGTCCTGTAGATATAGCCAGCAAAAACTGAGGAGAGGAACTTGAAATTTTCTTGACTAACAGCCTAATTCATAAGCATTAAAACGTTGGATGAAATAGAAGAAAAAACGTAAAAGATAACGTTTTGACGTCTTACTAATTGTTATGCGTGTGTCATGATTATTCAGGTTTGCCTCTTAAAAACTTCAATCGTAACTCAACTGTATACAACATTTTCTACATGAAGTACATCAAATGATAGTGTCGGTTGGCTTTAAAAATGGTGTTATAATTTGGGTATAAAAAGCGTACCAAGGAATTGAGAACATGGGTAGAGAGGATTGACTGATTATAAAATTTTCCAGAAGTTCTTGCTTTATGCATACCCACTTTAAATTCTTTTACTTTTTCTGTTCACAGGCAGATATCAACATCAAAGGACCCTTTGTGGCGGCTATCTTTCCTCGAACAACTGGTTAGGAGGCGAAAAATGCAATTTTTTTAATTTGGGTAAGGCCCCGTTAAAAACATCAAAAAATGACCATATAACCTACTTAAACTTTTGAGATATCCCTTTGAACTATGTTCTCAATCGTAATTTAGTTTTGAAGCAGTTCTTACAATGTCGGATTAGGAATCAAAGGTCAGTGGGAGTTTTTAAGATACGAAGTAAAGTATATTTTTTCCAGACATCAGACGAGAACTTGGAGACATGCTTAACAAGAATTGTGCTCTCTGGTAGCGATTTCCTGGATTCCATCGGCTCAAGCGATATATAGGAAGTGGTGCACAAGTTGCAGCTTCAGTGTACCCACAAAAAATGCTTGAATTCACTAGTTAAGGGGTTTACTTTACAGAATCAATATCTGAAATATCGCATACGCATAGGGATGTCGCTGAATGTACGAAAGAAATTATTGTTAAGGTGCCAATTTAATGTGCCATTCCTTTTAGCAACAAAGTACACAGAAAAATAGATGCGTTCTTATGAACTTGCCTCTGGAAACTTTCTTAGCCGACATCTTCAAGGTCAACCTGGAAAAATGTTTAATTAAGCGATGATATTTACGAGCAAAGACACTTCGTTAGCTATTTTGATGGCGTTTTCCAAATCCTCCCAACAGAAACCGACGTAAATGCGCACTTAATTGTTGTGAATAATTTACATCATTCGACTAATCTTGTGCTGAAGATGGGAACCGAAAGTTCGATCTCCTTATTAGATGCCTTTCTAAACGGGAGACCTGACGGTAGCGTCCAAAGTAGCGTTTATCAAACGTAAACTGGGTGCGGACAATATATGAACTTCGGCAGTTTCATATCCTTCTAATAGAAACACAATCTAGTCCATTTTTCGGCACAAAGACCTACAAAATTGTTTCAGCAGACAGTATCAGGGGAATGGAAGCTTAGGAAGATCGAGGATCTGCCTGGCGAGAACAAGTATCCTGCTAGATGTGTTACAAAATATATTGTCTTGTGACAAGTGAAACCCGCCAAAATTATTGTGGGAATTAATCTTGTGCCTTGAAGTTCCTTTTAAAGAGGATGTGTCATATGGATTGCTAGGAGGATGAATTGATCAAGCCGTTTCGCTAACCTTCCTAGCAGTGAAATAAGGAATACTTTTTTCGGCTGAACTTGTTTTACACGGAGAAGGTATGGATAAATTGCCAACACAGACCATTTCCATGTGCATTCACTTATTTGCGTTTTCCTGTGAAACAGGTTTCAATGGTTGCAGGAGAAAATGAATGATGGAATACCTCCTGGCATGCCTGAGAATGGACGAAGTCAGGAATATACACAGTGATATTCTCACACACATCTTTGATTCCGGGCATTGTGTGGACCCCAACTAAGCCTTCGGTGTGATTTATAAGGTCTCACTAAACTACCCCAATTCACGGTATCCGTATGTATTAGCAATAACGGCAACGATGGCCATCAGGTTAGGGGAGGCGGTCTTGTGCGCAAAAAGAACCTTCTGCAATGTCTGCGCTTGGCATGGCCGACAGTTGCCTAACGTCATGCACTTCTCCACAGCGTCTCCTCCCCCACTTACCCCCTAGGGTGACTCTAGCAAACCCGCCCTGCCACACCCCTTACATAAACCCCACTTGTATGCACACAACATTATTGCTCCCATGCTTTAATTTGTGCGCCGTCCTCATATAAATATACTGAACGGTGAAGAATCTAATGAAAGCACTCATATGCCCGCTAACTTGTTTTCTGAGTCCTGTGATGGGGATTTTCGCAAATATACGTCTTGTCAACATATTTCATCGCTCGGATGCTGCAGAAATCTAATTAAAAGAGATCACAGGAACCGGTCATGCTAATCTATGTCTCATATTATCTTTGAGTTTACCGCTGCTGAAAATGTTTGTGCATACCAATTTCACGATGGAGAATGCCATGCAGTGCTAGCCTGGAAAGCTAAAATCAAACCTAAGTAAACTGCTCGTTTTAGAAGGCAAAACACGGTTATATGGTTATCAAGCGTTGCTTGGACAGATTAATTAGGCGGATAATCTGCTCATAGCCCCACCCCCTGTCTCCCTCAAAATCCACTTTAAGTAAGTTGTTAATGCATTCATTATTAAGTTGTTCACTTCCTGTTATACGCTGCTTAGTTTAAAATACACACATATTTGTAAGAAAAGCGGTAAAAACTAGAAATCGCAGAATTGAAGATGCCAGTGGTGATAAAATCAGTCTACAACTAACTCTCCTCGCCTTCAACTATTTCAGAAGATGGTTTAGTCAGCTCCGAAGGGGGAAGAGCAGCTGATAATTTTATAGATGCGATGAAATATTTTAACTGCAAAATCATAGCATAAGACCTAAGTTAGTTTGTGACAGTAAGTTAAGCTCAAGTGATGACGCTAAACCAAAATAACAAATTAAAGGGCAAAAACTCAAGTCTTGTGGGAAAAGTATAATTAAGAGATTTTGGCTGGACTGAGTTCTCAAGCTTAGGTGCACAAAGTGCCACACATGGAGTTTATGAAGTTAGTGCCTTAAACAGCTCTTTTCCCAATGATCAAAATATGAAGAAAACCGTATGCCGAGAAAATCCGGAGTTGGCTTGTTTTCAGTTACACAGCGAGGCGTGTGACCTAAAACAACAGATTTATACCGCACTGGATGTAAAGTTTGGTGGCATATCATTAAGTAGAGGCCAGGTGGAGGAGTACTTTCTTCCCATCATACTTCCATTGTTACTCAAAAATATAAACTGTATAAAAGAACTATGGATTTTGTTTTAGTTTATATTTTCTACCTGAGTGACCAGGGGAAATCGAACTTGTTCCATAAACTTTGTATAAAATGCATTTGTATACTGTTGTTTATACATTATTTGCGGCTCACCTGTGAAGACAGGTTGTCATTGGACGTCCCATCGCTTGCCACAAGGGTGACTTTGTAGCTCTGAGGATGTGGAGGTCGTTTCAAGGCACAAAGCACATTTGGAACCTCCTCAGAGAGAGCAAATAAGCCGTCAAATGTATTTTCCAAAGATAACGTGCAGCAGAACTCCTGACTCATCGGATCCCAATCCTTGTCAATGATCTTATAGGGAATCGGCTCACAAAAATTTTGTTGCTCGACGCTCGTCTTGCCGGTAGCAGTGGCAGCACTATGATCTGTCATGGCGACAGCCTCGCTGACATTATTTCCTGCAACCATCGCAGTGGACGCCGTCTCCGCTGGCTGCTGTGGTAGCTGTTCCCAAATAAACACTATGTGTTTTTGATGTGGCGAAATGGGCACAAACTCGGGCCGATTGTCGTTAACATTGAGCACTGATATGACAATGCTTGCCTCCGCTGCGTATCCTTGAAAGCCCTGTTGACTGGCCCGAAGATGCGGGTTCATGACCTGCAGTGAGGAGAATGTTGGCTGCGAAGAACCGCCAGCAGGGAAGTGGTACTGAAGCGGTGACACATTCTCAGCCACGACTGTAAGTGAGATGGAGGACTGTCGTTCATAGTCGATGGGTCGACGCATGAAGACCTCTCCACTGTTACTGTCGATTTCAACGAAGAAGAGATCTTCTGGGCGCCCACGCAAACTGAATCGAACACGACGGTTCTCCTCGGTTTTGTCGGCATCGTGCACAGAGACCTTTCCAACCGCAGTCCTACCTGGGGAGTTTTCTTTTATCTGTAAGATATAAAACAAATATGAAGATAATGCTTAGTAACCATTAGTCGCACGTTTTAAGTGGAGATTAAACAATACGAAATACTGTCCACACCGTACTAGTTTAAAGCTCAGACGCGTGTTAAATCGATATTCAGCTGCTGCATGACACAACTGGGAGGGGTTCGACTCAGCAGTGGGCCTCCCAGAAGCTCGTAGATACCTAAGTTTTATTCGATTTCTTCAGAAATAAATTGGTCACTTAGAGTCAATCAGCCTAAACTAAAATTTATAGACACAAGCCAAAATTCTCTATGTTTATTTGGGTTAAAATCTATTGGCCAACTACTCATATGCACTTTCATTCTGTTCCTATAAACCGTAATTCGGACTGCTTTACTCCAGGTTCATATTGCTTTCTGAAGAGGTGAAAAAAGATAGATGAAACCTGATTTTCGCTCAAGTCATAAATAACATTGCATTCCTTAGGTCATATACAATCCTAGTTCAAATAAGAGGTTAGGCCTCGAGAAAATCAGCCTATATTTTGACAAACGTACTTATTTCGAATCGTTTTAAACCTTTCAACTATAGAGTAGTTACGGCTAGTGTTGAGTTTGTTTTCATATAAATTCCCATCATTTGGTTAACCTTTCGATTTTCCATATTTTATGAAATTTGAGTAAGACAACAAGGAAAACCCACTGCACAATTAAAACATCAATTTGTTCATTCCGATATCGATTTCTGAATAAACGCTTTAGTAGACAATTAATATTCATTCTACATGACATTTCTTCCAGTGAGATTTTGTAAGTTTATTGACAATCCTTGTCGTCCTTCTGCAAGAGGACTGCAAATGGGAGATACATGAAATGCAAGGGCTTTAATGCATTGCACGTCATGCATTTTCATTAAGGCTTACAACTCTCGATCCTGATAATTTGCCTATCATAATAATCTATAAAAAAGTTCCAGTATTCAGTATTTTTAAATCACTTGGTAGCTGAAAAGTGAAGGTCCCGGTCAAATTGATAGCATTCAGGACGTCAGCAATTTTGACTAGTCCATTTGTGTTAGGAGTTCAATCCGGCAGCAGAAGCTTGGAGGGCGTAAAGCTTTATTAAAATGCAATTCTGTATTTCCCAGACACCTCCTCCCACTTGTCCCGTATCTCCAAACCCTTTCAGTCTTTCAGGCGTTCCATTTTCCAACAAGTATTGTAATCTCAAGAATACAATTTCGCACCAACAATGAGA